AAAAAAACAAAAGCCAAAAACAAAAACAATGTATCACCATAACCAGGGTACTAGAAACTACACTAGAACACTTGATCTACAATACCTGACCAATAAGGTTTTGTAAAGGTGGAAAGGTTCTGAATGAACTGAGTCAAACACTTTATCACCTGGACAGTCGGCAAAATGAATTGGTAGAAGTCAGCATTCTGCAAAAACACACCGTCAAGAAAATTGAAAGAAAAAAAGAAACTTGGAAAAAAAATACCTCCTTCCTTATGCTCCAATCATCAGGATCTTCAGATGGCACCGGCTTCAACAAGATTGACGAAAATCTATCTATCCAAGGTTCGAGCATATAGGTGGTTGTTTCCATCTACTTACCACAGAACAAGTAAATATCGGTTTATTCCCAATAAGTTATATGCAATTTGATCAATTGGCTGAGCTGAGTGAATACCTCCTCGTACACACCACTCATGACCCAACTCATTGAAGTACAATTATAAATTAGTGACAGAGCTTTAGACCTCAGACTTGGGTCATAGATCTGCACATTTGAATCCACAGATAGATGAGAAGTTGATTGAAGAGTACCCTCTGTATCACATTCCAGGGACATTCTAGCAGTGAATTTGTAAGAAACAGAAGATAAAAAATACATGAAGTAATAAATAAAAATAAAAAGTAGAATAAAATTAAAAAAAATTGTGGAAATAAAAAATGACCTCTTGAATTTCCTTGTATATTAAAATTTGTTACCAATGCTTCAGTAGAAGCTAAATAAACATAACTAATTATAATTATCCATAATAACCAAAAAAAATAAAAAAAAAATATGTAATTTAGATAAACCAGTGTCCATTTCCATTGCTACCCTTAATTACCTCTCTTCCTAAAAGACTTAAACAATTTTGTCTTCTTCTGAATGCAATCAACAATCTTCATAAATACAACATGCAAAGTACTGGACAAGGTTAACCTGAGGATTCGACATCATCCAGCGCAAGCATGGGAATAAATGTGGGACAAGTTGGGGTTGGGGCACCATCTTGTCATCCATGTCCGAGGAAAGAAGAGAAAAGCATAGTAAAGCTCCATGCACTGCATTAAATAAAAAAAAGTAAGTTCGCCTTTCCTTTCAAGAAATGTTTAGCATATTATAAGGACATATTAAGTACTCACCACCATTCAGATTACTCTCGCGGTAAATTAAAGTTAAAAGAGAAGGCACTAATTCAGGCCAATCTTCTGGCCAATCATAAAGCGCAATCGCGGATACAGCCGCACTTACTGCAATACGGATCTCCTTACGAGGATCATCAAGCAATGCTAAAAGTAGTCCTTTCACAGCTGCCTGATAAAATAACAGAATTAGGTGTGATATATTAACATGTAATCAACCTTCAGCTTCATCTATCTTACATGTCTCCAAATTATCAATGCCAGTCAAGATGAGCAGAAACGCAAGTTCATCAAATTTAACACCCAATTATTCAGTAGATAAAAAACGTATATAAAGCTCTAAGCTTTAAGCAAGACTACATCTCTTCATTAATTCCATATCACCTCAGAAAGAAACGTGAAACAAAGATTCGAGAGAAAAAATATTGTCAATACTGCATACTGCAGCTCACAGGATACTTTATAGGTAGTTTTTTAATAAAGTAAAAGCATATTATTCAAAAAGGTGGATCTTATCTACGAATTGTATAAAAGCTTTGATATATTTTCGAGTGCACCTTCTCATTGGTCTCAACAACAGGATGCTCAAAGCCTTCCTCATCCTCATTCCAGTGTTCTCTGATAAATTGCTGTAGCAAAACTGCTGCTAGGTGAATGTGTGTTAATCTGACAAAGGCTAAGCTAAAAAGGAGCTCGATTGGACTATATGTAATGCATAGGAATAGTAAATGATGTAAGAAAAAATAGGTAAATTCTATAATTAAATCTCAAAATCATCAAGGATATATGCCGGAGTTCCAATACACTTTCCTGTTGTGCTGCAAATCTAGCAAGAGCAACACCATAACCTTTGCAGAAGTTCAAAAGATAATGTAAAATCAGTTCGATATCGTATACTGCATCAAATAACATAAAAGGAAAGAAAGCGCAGAATTTGTTAAGGTGTCTAGATCCTTGAGACAGTGGCCACTGGTTATCAGCTAACATTGATGTCATACTAAACAACAAACAGCAATGATCCTCTACAAAATACGTGGATCAATAAACCAATGTTTCTGCTGTTATTGGTCATTTAGCAATTAAAGCTTTCGCCTTTACTCATAAAATGACATTCTTGCACAGCAAACTTGGCATCAGTCTTCAATTTATACGATCAACAACATAACCGAAGCAAAGTTTACAGTAGCATCCCATAAAATAAAAACAAAAAATGCATACTTTATCCATCAAAAATTGCTCTCGATTATCCTACACTTCTCAAAATTCCATAAAATTACATCCATTCAAGATTTCTCTTTTGGATTCATAACCGGGGGAATTCCACTCATACAACAACAAATTCCATCCCTAGAAAGTACATTAACATCAGACACTTGCGATTTCTGAAAACTATTTAATTAAATCACCTGGTTTGCTGGGATCGAGTGATACATTCAAGCAATTGATCATCCATTGCTGGTCCTGATCCTGATCCATGCCTACTGATAAATAATCCCTGTAATCAAATGTGTGCGTGATTCAGGCCAACCTGTGCGTGTTGAATCGCAAATATCCTACTACTGAACCCGTGCAAATAATTATACTTATTTGCCCTTCATTTACAATTAAATTCTCAAATCTTGCCCAACTCCAAAATCTAGATTTCTTCCATGACATTGCAAGATCATAAAACAATTTCAAATTCAATCATCCAATGTTACAATAACCTACGCAAACAGACTGACCTTTAAAACGCAAATTAACCACTTATCTTCTATCCACTTTGTAAATATGAAAAAACTGGAGGAAATATAATACGTAAAAAATATGATAACGAAACAGAAACATTACAGCGCGCCTTTCTGCTCCTCGGCGAGGGATTTGGAGGAGGGTTCGGGCTTTGATTTGGGGATTTTCGGCCTGGAGCTAGGGTTGAGCGAGGACGAGGCAGGGTCGTTCTGATGCTGATCGAGATGGGATTGCTTCTGGCGGTGGAGAGATTTGGCCTCAGCCTCGCATTTCTTCTCGTTGCGGAGGCGCGAGTGCTTGAAGCATTTTTTCTCCGCGAGTCTCGGCAGCTCTTTCAGAGGCTCCTGCTTAAGGATGTCCATGGCATTTGATGCGGGGATTGTTGGGCGGAGGTTTTTGATGTGGCGATTACTTCTTTTCGTCAATTTAGGGCACAGATTCGGCAGAGACGTGAGTCGTGAAAAGGAGGATATTTTGTGAGGGTATTTATGCAACGGCATGAAATAATGCGGAAGACTCTAGGAATAAATAAATAAGCTTTTTTTTTTTTTTTTTGGGAAAAAAATTTAGACCAACATGAACTTTCGCTTTTTTTGGTTTTGCAGCCTAATCTTTTAGGATGTTACTAATTACCGCCCCCTATTACTAATTACTGCCCTCTTGGACAATTTCGCCCTTTTTATTTTTTTCCCTACAGCAAAATGAGCTCTTCATCTGAGGTATTTTTTTTTTTTTTCCTCCGGCCGACGAAACCGGACGGAACTGGGCCTGTCCGGCGCCTTTACGGCGTCCGGCCGGGTCGGCTGGACAAGATGGGTCACGTACGGTTTGTATGGTCGTATGAACCGGTCTATGTCCGGTCAGACCGGCCGTACGGCCCATGTGGTGTCCGGCGGCGACGGCCGGACGTAGCCGGTCCGTCCGGTCCGACTGGCCGGACACCTCTATTTTTTTTTTTTAAAATAAATATTATTAGAATTTATTTTGTTATAGAAATTATTATTATTTTGGTATAAATTCGACATAATTATGTTATAAATTGGTCGTGTTAGATATTATTGCTTTAGGGATTAGAAATTATTATGTTATCGAGTCGAAATAATTATGTTGTAAATTGGACGTTAGATATTATTGCTTTAGGGATTAGAAATTATTATGTTATCGAGTCGAAATAATGATGTTATAAATTGGACGTTAGATATTATCGCTTTAGGAATTAGAAATTATTATATTATCGAATCGAAATAATTATGTTATAAATTGGACGTTAGATATTATCTTGTTAGGAGTTAGAAATTAATTAGATTTGTGTATATATAAATTGAATGTTAAATATTATCGCGTTAGGAAATAGAAATTATTATGTTGTACAATTGAAATAATTATGTTATAAATTGGACTTTATGAGTTCGACATAATAATGTTATAAATTGAACGTTAGATATTATCGCTTTAGGAGTTAAAAACCGAATCTGACAGTTTTGGCTCTGTCAAACTCACGACTCGCGAGTTTAGCATAGGAAAACACCCAAATCTGGCGAATGGCGAGATTAATTCGGGAGTCGCCAGTGTATTCGTGACTCGCGAGATGAAATCGCGAGTCGCGATTCTCTCGCGACTCGCAAGATGAAGTCGCGCAACATGATTTTTGTATATTTTTGCTCTGTCAAACTCGCGACTCGCGACTTTGTCTCGCGAGTCGCGACATTATCTCGCGACTCGCGAATTTCCGTTGGCGATTCGCGAGTTGGACAGAGGCATAAGTGCCAGAATCTCGCGACTCGCGACCTTCCTCTGACCCGCCGGTGGGCTCCACATCTGAGATCGTGCGGAGTCATTAGGACCGAGGGGTAGACGTCCCCCCTGGGGTCGGAAATCGGGGAAATACTCATAAATCCAAGACTGCATAAAAGTTAAGCAGCCAGAAAGCTGTCTGGAGTCCCCTCTGCTGGCAATACCTAACTGTCGGTACAAATATGCCAGCGTAGCCGATCCCCACGAGTAACCACCAATGGCATCCACGACGTTAAGCACCTCAGCTAGGAGCTTGGGAGTCACTCTACTACCACTCTTGTCGCCGAACAAGGTGGTAGACAGCAGCAACCAAATCCATGCACCAGCCTCATCCAACGCCAACTGGTCTTTACCCCAGAATTTCTCCACAACGGAGCCTTCTGCCACACAACCGTGCTGCCAGAACGTCCCAACGAGGTCAGTCTTACTGACCAAAAGTATATCCATGCAATAATCCTGGCAGGCCTTTGTATCCGGCTCCTCAACGACCATGGATCCCTCTACAGGAATGTCCAAAATAGCCCGGACATCGTGCAACATAATGCTCATTTCACCAAAAGGCAGGTGAAATGAGTTAGTATCTGGCTGCCATCGCTCCACAAATGCAGTAAGCAGTGGAGTGTCCAAGTGGGCGTGCATGGAGTCTGCCAGATGTGACAGTCCAGTACCCTTGATCATATCAAGTGTCTCGGAAGACATATCACCTCGCCAATCTTTTAAATTACCAGACGCTTGCACTCTGAGATGGCATTTCAGTAAGCCTCGGCACTCTCCATTCCACAACCGCGAGGCTACGTGCCCTAGAAAGCTAGGGATCACACTGTCATCCATGGGCCCACCGTCCACTGGACCTCTAACGATCCACTCTGCCTCATGATCAGTCCTAGATCGTTTGCTAGTACCTTCATTAGAATAGAACATAATGTCACTAAAACAGGGTAAGGGTCGTTTTGATATAAAGTGCGCGAAAAACAGAGCCAAAACGAGCAAAAAAAGCAGAGTCTATTAAACTCGCGAGTCGCGAGATCCATCTCGCGAGTCGCGAGCTTGACAGAGCAGCAATAGCCAGAATGTCGCGACTCGCGACATCAACTCGCGACTCGCGACTGTACTCGCGATACGCGAGATGAGGTCGCGAGTCGCGAGATTCTGGCACTTTTGGCTCTGTGAAATCGCGACTCGCGACTTAATCTCGCGCCCCGGGACATTGCCTCGCGAGTCGCGAGTTTAACAGAGCCGAAATATAAATAAATTCCCGACTCGCGACTTCATCTCGCGAGTTGCGACTGTACCAATAACTTGTGATAACACCCTATTTAATAACAAACAACAATAAATACATAAATTATTTACCTGAGGATCCAGTGCTAGCAAAACGCCCTCCAGCCTGTCGTGGAGGAGCAGGATGAACAGGCCGTGAAGGAGCCGCAGGCTGCACAGGAACCGTAGCCTGTGCAGGAATATCGTCATCGCCCTCATCATGTGAAGATGCCGACTCGTCAGAATCCTCAGCCATCTGGGCTACCGACTCATCAACATAATATCCTTGCTAACCGTCCGATGTTGGTGCTGGTGCAGGGGGTATCGAGCTGCCTGACTGGCCAGCAAAAACATATCTATGCTGACTGAGCTCGTACAGTAGTGGTGCAGCATATCCCTGCTGACCAACTGGTACTGGTGGTGTACCATATCCCCTCTGACCATCTGGTACAGGTGTCTGCAGTCTCGAACTGCCTGCCTGGCCAGTCTGTACCCTCTGAGCCTCTTGGATAATGAATTCTCGATCCCGACGAGCGGACGCAGTTATACCCCGTTGCTTCGGGTGTCGGTGTCCAGATTCGTCAATATACTAATCCATCTCGTCGGCGTTCCTATCAGATCGTTCAGGCCTAGCAATACCCTAAATCACCAATTTAAATAAAAATTAGTAAATATATATTTTTTTTTAATTTTGTAAATATTTTTAATTTAAAATTTAATTTTAAAAGTCAAATTAAATTGATTAATTTATTACTTATAATAACGTCTTAAGTTAATATTAATAACTTATTAATCAATTTGAAATTTAATAAATTCTAATAACTATTATAATAGTAATTATAATTTATAATAATCACTAATTTTTTTTATTTGTTATAATTAATATTTTAATACTTATTATAATTTTTCTTTATTAATGTAATATTTTTTCTAATATAGTATTAATTAAAATAATATAATTATAGTAACTTTTTTTTAAACATAATTATAATACTTCTTTATTACTACAATAATTATATTAATTATATTTTATAATTTTATATTATAACATTATATTAATTTTTATTTAACATAATTATATTTTGTTAATATATATATTTTTTTATTTTAATTTTTTACTAATATATTATTATTGAAAAAACCAAAAAAAAACAAAATTTGTCCGGCCGGTCCGTGACCGGCCGGGGGGGCCGGTTCACGTACCGTACGTCCGGCCCCCATATCCAGACAGATGGGGTGCGATCGG